CCCTCTCTGCTTCACTCCTGGGCCAGCAGTTCCTCCCCCCCTTGCTCGCCGAGTGCTCTCTCCTCCGCCTCGTTTGCTCCCTTCCCCGTGTGCGCGAGTGAGTGGGGCGCTGGAGGTGAGGGGGGAGCGTCGAAGAGCCCCCCGCCTTTGGCAGCAGCCGTGGTCTCACCATCCCCACCGCTGCCTGCTGCTGCTCCATGGCTGGGCACGAATGGGACTGGTTTCAGCGGGAGGAGCTGATCGGGCAGATTAGCGACATCCGAGTTCAAAACCTCCAAGGTAAAACATTAAAAAAAATCCCCTCCCTTCCCCTTCTCCCCCTCTCTCCTTGTGCATGTTTGCATAGATGTATGTGTGCGCGTGCGTCTGGATCCGAGCGCGTCCCCCTCCAGATGGATTCGATTTGGGGGACTTTAAACTCCCGGTCCTTGCTTCCTTCCCCCCCCCCCCCCTCCAATTCCGCCTGTGCATTGTGCACGGTTTCCTTCTTATCTTGTGGGTTTGGAGGACCCCCCCCCCCGCCTCTGGCATTTTAAATGTATGGATGAGAGTATACATGCTTGTGTTAGGAATATGGTGTGTGGGGGGGTAATGCAGGGAAACTAGATGTGGTTGTGTTACCCCCCCCCCCGCGCTTTGAGATTGGGGAATTTATGAAGGCCGAATATTCTTTTAAAATATCAGATGACTTAAAATAGCTTTCTGCTGTCGCTTAGTACTTGCAGAAGGAACTGGGCATCAGAAGGAGAAACGTGTGTTTTGTGTGTGTGGAGGAGTTAAGTTTTAGAAAAGTATGATCAATCAACAGTGGCTGGGTGCTTAAAACAGGAGATAAAACTTCCCCAAAGTGATGTAGTGGGGGAGAAGATGGGTCATAGTTGACTGGTGGGCAGGTGACCAGTTTCAAGAGATCCTGTTGGCTGCAACTTCTGCTTTGTAAACTTAAAAACACATTAAAGGATGATCATAATTCTTGGAAAAACTAACAAGCAGACTGTGCAAGACTTAATCCCACCCACTCTGGCTACAAGTGGACTTTCAAGGTGTCTGCTGTGATTTTTAGAGATTATCTTGGCAGGCATGCTTCTCTTCCTCCCATCCAAATCCAGTCATAATCGTTGGTAGTTTCGCCAAAGGAAGGAAACATGCCAGGTAGATAGGTGAATACAGATAGCAGGAGGCAAGGAAAGTTTTAGAGATGTTGTAATAATTTGTTCCTACCTTTAGTGATTGCTTCCGCCCTAAGGTCATGTTTGATGAAGAAACGATTCCAAAGAAACTTGTTCCAAACAAACAGAAAAGTCCATGGAAGAATAAAAAACTTTACTGTGTATAACCAGCCAGACATCACCACAATCTGTGTCTTGGAGAAGGGTTTGAAGCTGAATTTACAGTGCCTTGATAACTTTAAAAAGCCCCCTTTATCAATTTTGTAACTTTCAAATAACGGGATCCCAGTTTATGTCCCAGTTAACCAGCGTGAAATAGTGGTTAAAGTAATCTAGGAGCCCTGGGTTCAAATGACCACTCTGCCATGGGAGTTCCTTGGGTGCCCGTGGGCCAGATATGCATACTTTCAGCCTACATCAAAGGGTTGACGTGAGGATAAAATGGCGGGGGGGGGTCATGTATGTATGTTATGTGCTGTCAAGTCACCTCTGATTTATAGCAACCGTATGAATGAAATGACCTCCAAAACATCCTATCGTTAATGGCCTTGCTCAGGTGTCAGATCTTGCAAACTGAGGGCCGTGGCTTCCTTGATTGAGTCAGTCCATCTCATGTTGGGTCTTCCTCTTTTCCTGCTTCCTTCAACTTTTCCTAGCACGATTGTCTTTTCCAGTGATTCTTGTCTTCTCATGATGTGAAAAGTACAATAGCCTCAGTTTAGTCATTTTAACTTCTAGAGAGAATTGAGGTTTGATTTGATCTAGAACCCACTTATTTATCTTTTTGGTGATCCATGGTATCCATAACACTCTTTTCTTCCTGTCAGCTTTCTTCACTATCCAACTTTCACACCCATACGTAGTAATGCAGAGTACCATATAACAACCTCTGTCCACTGTTCAGAAGGTCATGTCTTGTAGTCACCACCCTATTCCAAGTCGGGACATGTAGAGATGGCCTCTAAGAGGGTCTTCGTTTGGGGAGGTTCATGTTGGAGATCTCCATGAGAGGCTCTTAGTTGTTCTTCTAGATGGCATATGTTCTGGAATGTTTGCAATGAACAAGGGCACTTTTTGGCAGCATTAGCAGTTGCTGAGGAAACAGTTATCATGCACTGATTCGATACTACCCATGTGGTGGGGAAAAAGAGAGTTTGGGACAATGTAATAGGTTTTCAAGGGTCTGTCCTGTGGATGTTCAAGGTTTTCTGCTCATCATCCCTGGACTCAGAAATTTTGAATGCCACCATGCTGTTGTTCTTTGGTTGGATCTGAAGGTGCCCTTCTATAGTTGGCATGGTAGAATGCAACTTAATGTTGGTGGAGGGAGGGATAAGTCTTTTGGATTTCTGCACTCCCACTGCAGACCCGTGAGCCTTCATTGCCAGTGCTGTTCACAGGTGTCCCCTGACAACCAGAGCAGAATTTCAGTGGGCTGCTCCAGGAAATGGGGAAGCCCTGTTCTGTGAGCATTACTCAGTTTACAGTTGTTTGGTTCCAACCCCTTGTCAAGATGAAGGACTTTCAAGATGTGAAACCCACACTAATTCCTGGCAATTCATAGTTTATTGTTTCTAAAAAATGTGACATGATTTTTCTCTTTGGGATGAAAGGGAACCTAGGCAAAGGCCTTTGATCTCCCAAGAGTTTTTGAACTCTTCATTTCTCCTTGACTGGTTAATTTCTTAGAAGAGAAAACAAAAAAGAAGCAGGAGTAAGCTCAGATCTGACATTATTCCATGACAGAACTTGGATCTTTTGTGTGTGTGTGTGTGTGTGTGTGAAAGAGAGAGAGAGAGAGAAAGAGCGCCAGCTTGCGAGCGTGGAAGTCATGGTGACTTCTAGTGACCCTTGGTGGGGCCAGGATGTTTCAGAGAGTTGGCTTGATAATCAGCCTCTGCGTCCCGGCCCTGGTGTTCCTTGGAGGTCTCCCTTCCAAGTACTTGCCAGGGTCGGCCCTGCTTAGCTTCCAAGATCTGATGAGATCAGGCTTGACTGGGCTATCCAGGTCAGGGCTTTTGTAAATGGATCTTGATTGCATTGTATATCTGTTTGGGGCTTCTGTGGATTAAGTGAACCTAGAAATTCAGCATTTTCTCTCTGTTCACAGTGACAGCATGATTTCAGCTGCTTGTGACCTACAGGCGTCATCATAATCTTTGTCTTCACACTGCTGCATACTGTTCCAGTTAACATTTGCCTCCATATACACATCCCTGAGAAGATGTTCCGTGAGTTAACAGAGCTAGTGGAATTTCAGTCACTTGGGTTGCAATCCAGAGCATACCTATTTGGGAGTAAGGGTCAGTCAGGCATACTTTTGGGGTAGATATGCGTAGAATTGGCTTGATAGTTCAGTCATGTTTGGCTTTCAGGTGATGTTGTCCAGTTGTTTTAATGGAACTAACTCACTGTCGTATTGATCTGCTTCAGTTTAATGAGATTTATATAACAAGAATTCTGCAAATGTCAGATGTCACCTTGAGGCCTAGTTGCCAAAGTAAGGTAGGAGAGGGCATGGCCAAAAAGTAAATTGAGAGGAACAGAACTGGGCCTAGCCATCAGTGGGACGGGCACATGACGTTGATGGCCTAGGATAAAATAACCACAGAATAAGTTGTTCTTATTAGTTATGAATCATTTGGCTGTAAACTTTGAGCAAGGCTCAGCTGGCTCCGATTAACCTGCTGTTTGGAGCCAAGAACCCAGGATTGTTGCAAATGTAAAATAGAAAATGTGTATTTGTACTTGTAGCCCATGGCTACTAACATCTTCACAAAAATAAGTCCTACCACTTATCGATCATTTATATTCTGCTCCTCTAGAACCTTTCTGAGGTGAATTGTTAACCTTAAATAGATGATGGTTGAGTAGAGTTGCCAACCTCCAGGTGGTTACTGGAAGTCTCCTGGGATTATGATTGAAGCAACAGAGATCAGTTCACCTGGAGAAAATGGCTGCTTTGGAAGGTGAAGTCCCACTCCTCCCTAAATCCTTCCATCTTCAGGCTCTACCCCCAAAACCTTGAGGTATTTCCCAACCTGGAGCTTACCACACTGTGGTTGAGTATGCCTATTTGGGACTGGAATGAACTTTTCTGAACAATTAGTAGCTTTCTTAGGAGGGGCTGATCATGTCAGAGTGCTAGAGCATTTGTGTTGGATTCTCCAGAAAGACAGGGAGAGGCCATAACTCAGTGGTTGAGCATCTTCCTGGCATGTAGAAAGTCCCAGGTTCAATCCCCAGTATCTTCAGTTAGGAGCGTCAGGTACAGTAGGTGAAAGGCCTGTGCCTGAGACCCTAGAGAGCGGCTGAGTGTCAGAATAGCCAATACTGACCTTTATGGACCAGTGGTCTGATTTGGTATAAGGCAGCTTTGTATGTTCAATGATGCTAATAGGTTGCAGCTTGATTCTAGCAGTGTCACCCCTAAAAGAGGGTTGACGTTGGTTGGATCAGACACAAAGGTGTGTCATGTATCTGGAGAACAAATCTCACCAAGTGACTCTGCAAGAATTACAGCAGTCTATCTGAATGCAGTTTGGCTCACAATCTGATGGAAATAGGTGCTACTGCAGAATTAATCAAGGCAGAGATGACACATTTGTTGTTTCTAGCTACTCCTGATGGGCTAAATGAGAAATGAAACGATTCCATTATCGGTTGGTACAGAGGAAATATTTCCAGCAAGTTATGTTTGCACATTGAGCCTGACTTGGCAGGGGTTCTGCCAACCGAAGTTAACGAAAGAAGAACAGCTTTCTGTGCGGGGACGGGAAAACAATTTATTTAATGTACCATCCCAATCATTTTAATCAACACTTGATGTTAAACTGAAGCATAGCTGTATTAAAATAATAGGTTTGGGATTACATGTCATTTTCATTAGGCATCCGCTGCAAATGCTTTTAGTACAGCTTACAGAACGTGCTCAAAAAAACAAAACAACCTCCTGCACTTGATGGGAAGTGATCTGATTTCTCTTATATAACATACCTTCCACCATTTTGCAGAGGAAAAGAGGTAGACTTGTTCTGTTTTGATTAGCTGCAATCCTAAACACACTTGCTAGGGCATAAATTCCCTTGAACTCCAAGGCACTGTAGGGGT